AGATGCATTAGAACCAGCCATGATTCTCCCTTTGAACTCTTCAAAATATTCCACATCAAAAAGATTTGAACACCCACGGAACAAAGAGTTTCTTTTGTACAGCAGAAAGCATCACAACTGGTGGGTTTCAAGCATAGGTCCATGATCTAGATAGCTTTGATACCACTTATTAGAACACAACTCAAAAATACAGAGGGGGAGAGAGATGGTGCTGAATCTAAACACTTTATTTCTCGATATATTTTTATCACATACAGCAGCAATATTCATTGTACACAATTACAGCTAAGCCCACTAACTAACTAACATAAAAGCACTAACTGAATTATCTACAACATATATTCCCCTACAAACATTAATGATTTCTATAAAGTTGAAAGTGTAATAATTCATTTGAAGTTATAATTATTACACTACTTGTTTGCAGAGCTAAGTTGGATCAAGTTGTATCAAAAGCCTCAAACTACTATTTGCAAGTCAAAGGGCTTCAACAGGGAATTGATGTTGCGACCTTCATTTCCTACTTTCCATTATGAAAGTGAAAAGCTTGATGTGAATACAACATCAGAAGTGATTGTTATTGTTAATAACCTATGGAAAGTTGGAGATTTGGTAGATTGGTATACAGATGGTTGTTATTGGTCTGGAAGTGTGACTAAAATATTGGGAAATGATAAAGTTCAGGTAATACTTATTTTTGTCTTCAAGTTAGTTGTCTACTTATATTGAATATCTTATTTGGATTTTTAATTAGCTATAACTCCTAGAGTAGAAATTATTTGGTGTTGTTAGATTTTTTAGTTCCTTCCTATTTGAACTGTAGATTTTACATTCTTTTTTAGATTTTAACTTTAATTTTGTGACCCTTTTATATTTTTTGTTGCTGGCACATTATTGATGTAAAATTTTCTTTTGCATCTTTGCTAGTGTTTTTTTTATTACTTTTTCTTAAAGGAAGATTTAAATTATTCCCTTCCCAATCTTCCATGAATGAGTCTAGTTGTTTTTCTTTGCCTTCTTTTCATTTTCCAACGAATAGTTGCATACTCCACTTTGCTATTTTGTTCCATCCATGCTATTTGATCTGATAAGGGAAAACCACAAGTGTACGGTTGTCATCAATCCAAAGATCGTTTCCACATGGACTGTGTTTTATTTTGCAATTATCACAATTTAATTAAATTTAAATAAAGATAAAGATTGAGATAAGTAACACATTTTTATATTGGGTTCAAAGATAAAGATTTAATCAAAGATAAAGCAAAAAACCTAATTGATAAAGTAAATGATAATAAAGCTTTAGGATTGGGGGTTCAAACATAGATTTCCTATTTGATTAATTGCCCTATCTAATGCTCTATTTGGTCCTCTTTGAAAAGACATAAGTTGACGTCCATCCTCTTTCAAGCTATGAAGATCTATCTAATTGAAATGACCCCTATTTGCGTGATAGCTATGATATTAGACCCATAATGTTCCTTGTTAATCTATCAATTCCTCAAAAAATTAAACCTGCATTCTTGATTTAAAGATGAAGTCCTTTTTCTAGGGTTCTAACAATTTGGTTCACCTTTTAGTTTTTCCCCCGGTATTTAAAATTATGTAAAGACAAGGAGCATTGCATAAATAAGATTGATAAGGAAAGAATCAAAAGGAGAACTCAAGTGAACGCAACGACAATTCAATAGATAGTTAAAGATTTGTGTAGGATGTAGGTGAGTTCTAGTTGGAGAATTAAGACATAAATAGTTAGACACGTGGAGACAAGCTTTGGAAGCTTAGATTTTCACTCAAGTACAAATAAAATGGATTACATGGTATGTAAATTTAGCAAGAGCAATTGCAATCCTATCTTAGAGGCAAAACATAGAGATCAGACTTTACCTTAGGACACTTGGTTCAGATATTTAGGGTCTATCACTGCAAAACGACAGAGAAGTAGATGGATGTGAACCAAAGGATTCAAGCAGGATGGTCATATTGGAGGAGTGTTTCTCGTGTTGCATGTAACAGAAGATATCATTCAAGTTTAGGGGAAAACTTTAACATACTGCCTTAAGACTCATGATGTTGTATGGAACTTGTTAGGCGGTAAGAAGCCAACAAAAGAATAAACTCAATGTAGCTTAGTAATATCTGATAAGAACCTTGGGAAAATCGAACTATTAAAGTTAGCTGATGTATTTGGCGAGTCCAACGCTTTATAAACCCCACACTAAAATCACACACTTCCAATATGGGGCTCAACTCCCATACCTTGCAACTGAAGATAGATTTAGAGATCAATAATATATCTATATATCTGATTTGCAACAGAACACTGGCATTGTTTGATCCATTTCATCTAGTTTGAAAGGGTTGATTATTGTGTCTGTCAAAGGGTGTTTGGCTATTGTATGGGATTGGGAATCAAATGGACAGTTATGTAGTGCTTTTTTATTTAAGGCTCATTCTATCATCTCAATTTCTGTCATCTAATTAGGTTCATTTGATAGTTTCTGTTATCATTTTGTTACTGATTTTACCATGATATGGGCAAATGACATACCCAACTATAAGTTGTTTCCTACTCCTTTTTTTCCTTAATCTACTTTTCCTTTACATCTTGTTTAATGAACAGTACTTGTCTGGATGTACTTTAGTATTATGTGAGTATCATAAATTCATACTTATTATGTGTCTTTCTAGATTGATTTGCTACCTCCCCCACTGGGTGAAGGGTCATCTTACGAAGCATTAAGCAAGGATCTGCGCCCTTCTTTGGACTGGTGTCCGGGAAAAGGTTGGACTGTGCCTATGCCTATGGTGTGTACTCATAATCTTGTAATTTGACTTGTCTTTATATTCATAAATTGATTTCTTACATAGATTTTTTCTTTGGTTAAATTTTGTGCCAAAACTAAATTTTAGACAGGGTGTACTCATAATCACACAATTTGTGTTGTCTTTGTATATATAAAATTTATTTTCTTTTGTAGATACTACATTTTGTGCAAAAACTAAATGTATTCATTAATGATTACTTGCTTATAGTGGAAAATGTCATTTTTAGTCCTTTTTTTTTCTTCATAAATCTGATTGAAAAATTCCCCTAATGACTGGAAATAAAAGGGATGTCCCCTAGGAAATATACTTCCTATTGTTTATATAACTGTAAATTTAATGGATTGTTGTTGCTGATTGCTGATTGTATTTTTGCAATTATCATAGTAGTCAATTCTAGATAGCGGAAACAGAAAAATAACTCTAAATTCATGCATTAATCATTTTTAATAATAAAAGTTTATAGTACTCAAACAAAACATAACATAAAATGTCTAGAAAACAAAATGCTAAAGCTGTTCCACTTCCAAAATACATCAATGTTGTGGGATTAGGATTGGGACCAATTCCAGCTGCATCAGCCCCTAAGCTCTGATCTTTTGGTTATTAGCGTTTGGTTGGGCCATGGTTCTACTGATCACCAAAGCACAAAAAGGCCCAAATAAAAAAAAATGAACAGAAAAAAAGAGAAAGAAATGGAACAGAAAAAAAACGAACAGGAAAAAAAAAGAAAGGGAAAAGAAGAAAATCATGGGAATGAGAAGAGAGAAAATAATAGAAGAAAGAAGAAAAGAGGAGCCAAGAAGATGAACGGAGAGGGAGTTCAAGAAGAGGAACAGAGAGAGCTTGAGAAATGGAATGAGAAGAGTCATCAGGGACTAGGGCTGTTCGCACTCAATAGTAAAGAAGGTACTTACGGTTTAGGGCAAAATGTGTAGAGGGAGACTTGAATGAAGCAAAAATATCCTTAATGAGATATTTTCTGTTTTTTTAAACTTTTAGTCCGCTCCACTGCGATTTCTGCTGCTCTGCTTCGCGTGTTGTGCCCGCTCCAGCTGCTATATGAAACCACTCCACTCCAAGGTCCCTGTACCGGTATGGAGCCACTCTGCTCCAACGTGCCGTGATGGCAATTATAAATTTAAACATCAACTGAAAATGAAAATAAAATCTAGTGTTTTTTAATCTTGTTTATTTTGTCTGTTTTTACTGAAAATCAACAGTTTTAATACATGTTTAGTTGAACTTTGCCATCTGCCATTTGATTATTATAATCAATGCCTGCCTGGGGTATTATGGTGTCATGGATAGAGATAATGAGAACATTTCTATTCTGAACATAAGGCATTTTCTAAATAATGAAAATTTGAAAATGTAAACCAAGATAGAACAGCAACCACAAAAGCCTTTTACCCCCTGGTGTCATTCGCTGCCTGGAAATGCAAACAAATAAATATTTGAAATTCTTTTTGTATGCTTTGTATATCTTTTATACTAACTTCGTTATTCCTTGTAAGTTTTGCTGCCAGCACTTCATTGGTATATTGAAGCATCTCAATACTTACTGTTCTGCAGAAAGTTTGTTTAGGTTATTGGACATCATTTTGATGTCTCAGTTTGCATTATCGATACTTAATTTCTTGAGAAAATTGCAGGGGGATGGATGCATGCAACCTTGTGCTCGTATAGTCAATCCAGCAAATTCAGGTAAAACAGTATTAAAATATAGTCTACTGATTTCTTTCCTTTGAATGAAAGGAGGTTGTTTCTGAATTGAAGATTAATTTGGCAAGCCTTTCCTCCCTTACCTCTCTGGCTGGTTGTTAAATGGTGTAGTGACCTTACTTATTTGTGCCTTCTTAAGCTAATCATTATTGGTCCATTTTATTTTGGATCCAGTTATTCAAGATGTATCCGAATGCTTGGTTGGTTGGAAAGGATTTGTTTTATCCTTTGGCTATTTTTTATACCTGATAAAATTTATGCAAAATAAGGAAAGGAAAATAGGGGTACCAAGCTCTTCACAAGCAGTGATAGCCCTCTGTTAAGACAAAATGTAGAAAATAACTGGAAAATAGCAATGGAGATCCTGTAGCAAACTAGCAATTAGAATACAATCCCCTCCAATCCATTCCTTGCTTAATCTTTGTCTGCCTTTCCTTTCTCTCCTTACCCCTCTATATTTTGTTTCCCCAATTCTTATGTCATACCATAATTCACTTCTCCATTCAGCATGTGACAGTTGTCCTCGCTCTCTAATGAACTCCAACTCTTCCCTTGTCACGTTCTCTACAGTGGTCATTTCCCCATTTTCTCCAGTTCTTCACGCCTCTCCATACATATGTGGACATTAATAGACTTTGGTTACTCAGTTTGTGCTTTTTCTGCTGGTTGCATTATTATTTTTATCTAATTTAATTTGATCTTTAGCGATTATTGCTGTTTATCGGTTTAACCTCATGTTTTGCAATTTCCTGGGGTATTGCGAACATCCATGCAACAGATGGAACAGTAAAGGTTGATCAGCCAACAGTAAGGACATATTTTTCTCCTTCTCAAAATTTGAAGGGTCTCTTGGACTGTCCAGATAGAAATGGTATGGTGTTTCACGAATCTGACAGTAAAGTTGAAAGAGCTTGTTTCTCAGATAATGTTTCAAGTGCCCACATTAAGGATGCATCGATTGAGAATTTGGAGAAGGCTAATATCAATGGTGGATATAATGAGTATCCCGCAAAAAAGAGAAGTAAAAAAAGCCTTTGTTTGAATTCCATGTCGTCTAACACGATAGAAGCTGCAATCATGGACTTGGAGGAACTTGTTAATAGGATTAAGTGGTTAAAGGGTGTCTTGAATTTGAGGATGCCTTTATCAGATACTAAACAGCCTTCTTGGGAGTTTTCGCAACATCATGCACCATGCAACTGATTGTTTTTGTAATCAGTTGGACCTCAGCATACATTGCTTTTGTCGTTAAATATAATTCTCGTGTTGTAGATAATAGTACTTTGTCTGTACAGCTGATTTTGGAATATAGTTAGTTCTTATTTTCGGCGTTGCTCTGGTAATTTGCGCATTTTTTCTTGTTTGGCTTTTTACAGTAAGCAAGGCAACAATCCAACAACCATCATCAAACTTGTGAAAAAAAGGGTTGTTAGTATATCGTTTTGAACCATTGATTATTATAATATTAAATCTAATTATTAAAAATAATGTTTGATCCATGTACCATATATTTTTGCTATTTCATGTTAGAATTTAAAATAGTTATTATTAAAGCCAACAAATTTATTATATATAATTATTTGTGATATCTCTTTGTTTTAATTAATTTATATATACCAATAATATAATATTGTTTACATCATCATCGAATCATATATTATCATGTAAAAAAAAGTTTATTGACTCATCATAATTGTCTTAAAAAAAAGTTTATTGACTCATCATAATTGTCTTAAATTTATGTTTTCCTTTCAAGTTTTGGTACATTACAGTTTCTTTTTTGCGCATTATGTTTTCCTTTCGATTAGTATTTCATAACAATGATTTGTATTGATTTTATTTTATAATTACTTTTTAATTATCAAATACAAATTTTTATTATTATTTATATAAATTTGAAGTCTTCCCACGATAAAAGTATTATATAAATAATTACTTACTTTTATAAATACATACTCATCATATAACAATTTTTTTTATATATAATAACATAAATATTGTTTATATTTAAAGAGAAATTACAAAATTCTTTAAAAATTAGGCGAGTGTCGTGGAGGAAGGGGACGGAAAAGAAAATAACGTAGCTGACGTCTGATGTTGGATCGCAGTTGTGAAAATTGAAATAGTTGAAGTTACACCTCAACTAGATTCTGTTGAGAGAAAGGCGCAGAGAGAAGAGAAAAGAAGAGAGGCATGATGCTAGTCCGAAGATCTATGCGATACTCGTTTCTCTTGGCCTTGACCTCTCTGCATCTGCAACTCCTTTCTGGTATCTCTTTCTCTTTTCCTCTAATTTGTGTCTTTCTGTTGAGAATTTCGTGAATGCTGGTTTGAGGGTATGGAGCAATTTGTATTTTTTAGGGTTTTTGTTTGCTATAAAATGAAATAGAACAAGTGGTCTTTGTGGAGATTCTAATAATTTTCATATTTGATCTAATTATGCTTACTTAACCGCCGCGTTCGACTTGCATCCTTTGCCTGTCACTGTTAACATTGCTACCAATGGAATTTTCAAATAAATAGTTACTGGATTGTACGGTTTGTACCTAGGTAGTTATTTCGCAGGTGAAACTTTTACCTCGTATTCTGATTTTCATATAAAATAGGCTGATAAAGGTTCCTTTTTTGTTTATTTTGGATATGGCTTGGTAGAGGACAGGAGAATCAGATGTTTTAGCTTTTAAAACTCCACCATTTTTACAAGTTAATTAAATCTAATATTTCTGTCTTGAAAATAGTTTGAAAGCTGAGCCTTTGTCCTTATGGATTGTTACTTCCTAACGCTATGTATCACACACCTAGGAATGATAAAAAAAAATTTAATTCTCTAATTTATTTAAATTTTTTACAAGAAAGAAGGAGAATTTCCCCCCTGCCCCCTCCCTCCTCTATTTTTGTCCTTATCGGTGGCTTATGAAAATTTTGTGTCCTTGAAGGCCTAGCCAATAACCCTTCAGATCCCAAAAATGAAAATAAAGACGTGAATCATCATCATGCTTCAAGAAGCTCCGTGGGGCTCAAGATAATTATTATATGCCTTGGTGTGGTGACAGTCATAGCATTCTGTGTTTTTCTTTTCAAATTATGGCAAAGGAAGAAGAGAGAAGAGCAGCATGCTCGTCTTTTGAAGCTGTTTGAAGATGATGATGAACTTGAGGTAGAACTTGGTATGCGGGATTGACAATTTATCTCATTCCTTTTTTATAGAAAAAAATGCGCATCATTTTCGTGTCAACTAGGCTACTCTCTTTCACCATTCAAATCTAGCATGGGTTATTTTGAAAAGTTGAAATCAGGCATTGGCTTGTCACCAGTTTGCTCCTCTCCTGGTTTAGCACGGGAGATTTAGGGTTCAATTCTCATCTTCTCACTTGATGAGAACAAGATGAAGCAAGTTTATATTTTATTATTGTATACTTATTTGTAAATCATATATTGGTTCTACTTAATATGGTGATATCAATTAATCAAAAATATATCTGATGTGAGTATTCAGTTTGAACTTTGTTTCTGCCATAACACAGTGGCTCCAAGTTGCATTTTTTCTGCTCGTCTTTTGTATAGTCCTGTACAATTTTGATTTCCTTTTGTAGTATAAAATCTAAAATACTAAGATTTTTATATACTGATCTGTTAGACAAGACAATTCCTTGAAGTTACATCTCTAGTTCCCTTTTATTGGGAAGAATACAATCCCAATATTATATGCAGTGAAGATCAGATGTGTCTTCTTGTTCCTCCTATTGATCTTGTGAATGCTAACTATGACATATAGATAGAGGATATTTAAATTGCTTTTTAAGCTCCTGGCACTCTGGAAGTAAAATTGTTTTTGGTATGTATTTTTTCCCATGAGTCGGTGTAATTGAAGCTGGTTGTAGGTTAGAGTTTTCTGCGCACGTATGATGATAGGTTGCAATATTTATGCACATGTTGGCCTCTGCAGTTTGCAAACTGTATCTTGCGGTGTGTGCCTTTTGTTTACAGTCTCCATTATTGTAGTAGCATCCATCCCTTTAAATTTTCTTTTAGCAGTTATGCATAGCAGCATAGGGGTTGGGGAATATTGATATCATTAATTTGGTTTGTACTATGCACAAATTTTCATTAGTCAAAGGCATCATCGTTAGATTTGCTTGACTTGTAAATTTTCTCGTCATTTGGGACTAATACAAGTATATGGCACAGATTTTTATTTTTATTTTTATAAATATTTTTGGGTCATTATTTCTGGTTGTCTGCCCCTTTGACAAATTTTTCTTTTCGAAGCTATGACACGGTGTATTTTTAAGCGATTTTATTTTCTAAGCTATGACATGGTGCATTTTTAAGCGATGGCTATTTTTATTTTTATTTTTATTTTTTTATCTTTTTTTTGTCAAGATCGAAGAATGTAGTTACAGCTATGCTTCTTGAACATCGGCACGATAACTTCTTTATTTTGTTAGAAGAAATGTTAGTAATACACTTAGATATATATTTTGAAAATTATTTTTTTAACTGAAAAATAATTTTTATTATTAACTAAAATTTATTGTTAAATACAAACATTGTAGGTCCCACCTATATAACAAGTTTTACTTGTAATTTTCTAATTTTTAATAAAACCTATAATGTAAAGCGAGTTGAAAGAAGTATAAAGTGAGGAGGAGGAGTGTTTTTTTATAATTAGAAATGAGGAAAAAATTTTAAAAAAAATTATTTTGCTTGAACGAGTGAAAGACTAAGTGAAAAAGTAAAAAAAAAAAAAAAAACTATATGAGATTTTATTGGTGTTGATTAAAAAAAGGTTAAATTAATTGATTGATCCTTATAATTTTGTCAAACTTTTAATTAGATTCTTATGGTTTAAAACACTCTAAAAACATCTTTAGCTCTATTAGAGTTTATGAACAGGAGGAGAAGAGTCTAATTAAGACGAGTACAAAAAAGATTAAAATGAAGGTTGATGTGGGGAGATTGACGATACCATGTAGGAGAACCTTAGAGGTTTTGAGGAGGAGGATGTGGTTAAACATTCATATGTTGATAGTTTGCTCTCACCGAGAGGAGGGAAAGTGTTCTCTAATTATAGTTGCCTCCTAAAAGAGATGAAAAACTATGAAGAGAATTTCTAGGAAGACAAGGAGGACTCGGTGGACATGGGGGTGGATCTTGACCCTTGTCCCACTATAAATGTCACACGAGGAATTTCAGGGGTGGTGTGCCCCTTGGAAGAACACGCTAGTCATTAATATTTTGGGTAAACGAATCCCGTTCAAGGCAATAGAGAACAAAGTTCAACGTGATTGAGGAAAAACTGTTGTATGAATCATTGATATGCCTAATGATTATTTTTTGGTACAATTTGCGGAAGAGGAGGACCACAAACATGCTATTTATGAACAACCTTGGATGATTGTTTATCACTACATTGTAATGTAGAGGTGGGGGCCTTTTTTCACTATCACAAATACAAAGATTCGCAAGGTTGTTGCATGGATTTGAATCCTTAGTTTGCCAATCAAACTCTACAATGATCATTTTTTATGGCCTCTGGGCAATAAACTTGGCACCATGCTCAAGATTGACAAGCTAACTTCCATCCACTGACATGGAAAGTTTGTCAAGATTTGCATAGAGATCAATCTGGGGAGGAAATTGGTTTCTAGGATAAATGTCATGGGTCACATTATCAAGTTGGATTATGAAGGTCTTCACTCAATTTTCTTCGACTATGGAAAATATGGACATAGACAAGACCAATGTGGAGAACTGACTGTGCAGGTACACTCCACGATTGTAGATAGTGCAAAGGTAGAGGAGTAATGGAAACGGATAGGATAATCACCAAATCTTCTCTAGATTTGGTGGAGTTATATGGTCCGTGGATGTTGGTGAACAAAGGAAGAAAATTTGGGAGGAATATTAATTATCCCAGATAAAAGGTTGAGAATATGCACAACTTTAATTTGAAAATAAATGAGATTAAAGATGATAATAATCGAGTTGAGTAACTGATAGGGTTAGATCTATCAGAGTTAAATAAGATATCCAAATCTCATGATTTGGACGTGGGGGATGTCACAACCATGCAACCTATGCAGACCAACATGAAATTACATAACACATCTGGAAGGATGAACCCACAAGGCTTGTTTGGTAAAGATCTCTTTGTGGGGGGCAGTTTCTTTAAGAAGAAAGGGGGGTCGACACGTGATTCTCTTATGAGTCAAATTATGAAATCAAGCAAAAATACTAAGAAGTTGGGGTCCTCCTCTAAGACAATAACAAAGGAGTCTTTTAATCGCTTGGTGATGGACCAATAGAAGAATACTAAGAGGGTATTAGAAGGGTTACATGATGCAGCTTCTTCCTTGACCACCCAATATAAAACTAGAACATGGAATGTGTAATCACTCATGTGGAGCTACTTGTAGACACCAGGTTTTGTCCGAGTTTTTCCTACAAAAGTTGGGAGACTTCAAACAAGAAGAGCAACCCCTGAAGGCCAAGGAAGGTATGAAAATGGGCCAAGATGAAGCATAGGAAGTATGGGAGGCATTTCTGCACAAAAAAGGGTCAAAACCCTAACCTTGGGTTCGGAATGGCTGTTCCTAGAGGCAGAACGATCGTTCTCCCTTTGTGACACATAGGGCTCTACATGGCCATTCCACTTGACCTAATTATGTGTAAAACTGAGGTGTAGAATGGTCATGGTCGTTCCCCTTCCTTGGACGCCTATAAAATATTACATAAAAGATGTAATATTTGAACAAGGGTGATTATTATTTATCAGTCACGTCAACTTCCTAATCCATTTCTAATGAAAATCAGTTTGCATCTGAATAGAGACTTTTGGACTTGGGCTTGATGATTTTATTCAATGGACAGGGGTACTGAAGAATTTGCTGAAGTTGAAGCTAAATTGGTTGGTTTTTCACTTCTATTTGATTTTCTTATTTTAAGTCTTTTTTTTTTTAATTTCTTCTTGACAGCATCCTTGTACTGTGATTAGGATAAAGACTGGAAGGCTAACAATGGAGCTTCAAAAAATAGCAATAAGGTAAAATAGCATCTGTTTAATAAAATTTGTGTTACCTTCATTCTCTCTCTGTCCTCTATGTCATACTCTTCTGATTCTTAGCATGTATGGGGCACTTGGATAAACAACATAGTTAAGCACTTATGCAATAAGATCTTATTTAACGAGAGATTATTCCTAAGTTTGATCATGAAGCTTGCTGAAATAAGCTATAAAAGAGCTTGCTCCGGGACAACAACTTGAAGATTCAGCAGGCCAGGAAGAAGACCAATTTCATTATAGGAAGTTACCTACTTCCTAGATTGCTTTCGGTACACAACAGATACTGTAAACACTTGAGAAATTGCAGTATTGTAAGTCTTTTATCTGTAAAACGAATAGATAATTAAAAGTAGATCTGTGCTAAGAGTTTTATTGTGGTTTTGCACAGTAGAGGTTGATATTATGCAAAAAAAAAAAAAAACAAAAAAAAAGGATGTGTAGCTTTCCAGGGTGAATACTACTATTGTACCGGAAACTTTTATCACAATAGTAGATTATTTCAACAACAACAATACTATTTTTTTATTTATATTCCTTTTAGGTTGACTAATTGTGACTAATTTTTGCCATTTCTAAGTTTGACACTTTTAAATATCGAATAATGCAGATTTTGATCATATATATCGAACAATGTCCTTCAGCCGGCCAACAAACCTCTCAAATATTGAATTTCTTTGAAAGAAAACATATTAACAATTTATTTAAAATAAGTTTATTTCTTAAAACCAATTTAAAACTAGTTTATTTCTTAAAACCGGTTCAAAAACTAGTTTAGTTATGAAACTGATTTTAAACCAATTATAAACTTGTTTATTAAGATAATTCAATCTTAAAATCATTTATTAAAGTGGTTCACATAATTTATAAATCAGTTCATTTTATTAAAATGGTATAATGCAATTCGGTGCGATTTTGTTAAAAAAACCAAACTATGCACACCCCTAAATGCCTCAGGTCACATCCATGTTTTGTCCTAATCCAATAAATAGTAGGGTTAATTCAACAAAAACATTTTATCTCTTGTAACCACATTTTTGGAGAAGTCAATTCAATTGCGAATGCTCCAGCCAAAAGTAGGTTGCCTTTTGAGAGAAGATTTGAAAATTTAGAATGTTCCTCCTGCTTTAATTCAAATCTTTTACTTGCAAACATGTTTGCTATTTCTTTCTTTAGAGGAATGTCATATGGGCCTTTAGCCTCTTTGATAAAATAAAAAGAAATAAAAAAATAAAAAAAATACCGTTAAATTTTATTAGTTCATGCTGACCGAATATTATGGCATGGCAATTATTTTTTTAATATGATAATTAATTACTTTTTGTTTTCATTTATTTTAAATATTTTTAATTAAATCCATGATTTTATTATGTTAATTACACCACAACTTAAAATTCATTTTATGTTTAGATTTAAATTAGTTCATAACTTCCTTGATATTTTATCAATTTATAAAGACTCTAAGAAAAAAAATGAAAAACATAAATTTTTATCAAGGTAATTTTAAATTTTAGTTTATGTAATAAATAACAAATGAATGTCTATTTTTATGCACTTAAATTTTAATAAATAAATATTTTAAACATACTAAATATACATAAATAGCTATTTAAAAATAATTTCATTTAAAATAACTATTCTAATTTATATAAAGAGAGGATATAATATTAAAAATCAGCTAATGTACATGATAAATATTTATTTTGTATAACTATGATTTATAATGAATAAATATTTTAAAATGTTAAAATTATACAATAATTAATACTTATAATAAATAAATATTTTTAAATATATGTTATATTTTAAATTTACAATAAATAATTTATACAGTAATATAGATTTATTTTTAATTATTAATAATATTTTAGAAAATATTAAAATTAACTTTTTTTAAAAAAAGATAGGCTAAATTATATTTTTAGTTCTCATTATTTATTTTTAAGATTTAATTTAGTTTCATTATTTTTAAAATGTTCAATTTAATCCTTAAATTTTTGAAAAATATTTAATATTATTGTTCCGTTCAAATTGACATTAATAATATTAATAAAATTAGATGAAAAGATAATATTGAACATATTTTAAAAATTAAATGACCAAATTAAACATTTTAAAAATAGTAAAATCAAATCCAACATTTTAAGACTAATATAACCAAATTGAATACAGATTTATATAATACATTTTCAGTCTAGATAAATTTAAATTTTATTTTATTTACTTAAACAAGATGGTAAAAGAGTTTATCCAATCTAATGTAAGTAAATAGGTAAAAGAAAATTCAAAATACAAAAATTTGTTACATAATTTTAATTCAATTTGTCTTTTTTATTGTTTGAATATTTAATTTGATCTCATTATTGTTAAATGATTTAATTTGGAAAAATAATTGATGCCCTTCTGATAATATTGAAAATTTAAAAAAAAAATAAAGAACTAAATTGAACTATTTAAAAATAACATAATCAAATTGATCTTGAAAATAAATAAATGGACCAAAGTATAATAACCAAAAAGATAAATTAAAACATATGATGTTGAGATAAATACGAAAAAGTAAAAGCGCTCTTATCAAAGAAAATCAACCAAGAACATAATCTGAATTGACTTTTAAAATTATGCTTAAAATTTAAATTAGTATTTTGCTTATGAACTTTTACTGATTAAATGTTTATTATATATAATTAAATTTTATAATAAATTATATATGCAAATAAATATTATATTTAAATATATAAATTATATTAAAAATTTGTATAAATAAATATTTTTAACACATTATATTTTCAATTTAAGACAAATGATTTATATTGTGGTATAAAAAAATTTAATTATTAATAATTTATTTTAAAGATATTAAATTTTAATTTATAAATACATAAGATAAATAAATAAAAATGAATTATATAAGAACTTAAAAGAATCCTTCCTCCTACCCTAATTAGTGGTGAGAAGTTGAAGTAATTTAAAGAAGGTTCTAGGTTCATTGTATAATAAAAAAAATAGTAAGTTTCCTAGTTTATAGCAGTTAAGAAATTAACCGAAATAACAATAAAATAAAAACAAAATAAAAAAATACAGCGTTTTATCCGATACTAGGAGTAAATATACTTATTGATGGCACACTACAATTTAACAGAAACCACTGAAATTTGCATTGAAATTATTATAATATGAAAACCAGATTAAAAATGATCTCCAATCTCATAATGCATGACGTGAACATAGAATAATAATAATTGCATAATAGTCATGTCACTTATAAAGGTATTAACCCGGCGTAGGCAACAGCTAGTTGATGTCAAGAACTCACGATCCAGGAGAAAAATAACATAAATAAACTTTTAAAGTTTGAAGTAGCTACTGCCAAAGAGTGGCACAGCTGGTTGATGTCACGATCCAAGAGAAAATTAACATAAATAAACTTCTAAAGTTTGAAGTAGCTACTCTCAAAGAATGGCACAACGAACCTCACCACGCTTGCGAAGTTCTTCATGCGCCTTCTCAAGATGTTCTCTGAGTTTTCGTATTTCATCATCTGATCTCATTTGAGCTAACATTGCATTCTCCTCGGCCTTAAGTCTTGCAGCTTGCTCTTCTGCCAATTGTTGCTCAAGCCTCGTAGTTGCCTCCCTCAACTTTGATTCAACCTAGAAAAACATATTATTCAAACAAAAATATTAGGGGTACTTGGTAATGCTCCACTTATTTATGTCAGTACTGTATCCAGTACTTCACCACATGTACTGGTGGGAGTCAGGACCTCAAGATTCTATAATCACTTATAGAAATAAATACACATTATTCATCAACAAGGTTTTCACATCGACAAGAATCGAACCCACATCCTCTTATGATATGAGTCTGTTCCTTACTAATTGGACCAACCTTTATCAACAAAACATAAGAATAATGACAATGGCAGGCAAAAAATCAAAAGAATCCTAGACCAATCAGTGTAACAGGACTTACCATACAAACATTCTAGGCCTCTCATATTTGTAAAATCTAATAAAAATCATTAACCATATCAGATTGACGTTGTCACTTTTTCTTGCTATACAAGATAGCAACAGCTTCCCCCTTCTACTCGAGTAGAAGTTGGAGATAAGCTACCATACTTTTAAAATTTGGTTGTTCAAATACATCTTTCCTTAGCACCTCCGGCCCTCTTTCCCCCTCCCAATCCAACAGAAAAGAAAAAGAGACACAACTTCAGCCCCTTTTTTTCTACTTGTCTTGCAGATGAGACTCATCACATTAAACCCGTAGAATACCAAAATTTTACCAACTAGAAATTCAAGCATCCCGATCCCTGAAAATACATCTATGCAGACCTTCTAAATTATTTCACATTATAGCATGTGTGTCCTTTTACCATCTCAAACCCAGGTCAATTTGTATATTGATATTTGATAGGCATTTGGAATAGGCATGACAAAAATTTAAAAAGAATAAAAAGATAAAGAAATGGTAGAAAGAATGGTGTTTGTGTTCAGAAGTGGAGTCCGAGTGGAAGAATTCTCCTACATGGGGTGTCCCCTTCTCCCAACTAAGAATGTCACAGCTTCAGTTATTTTCCCAAAAGATGTCTTCCTACTACAATTTCCCCTATTTAAAACCTCCTAATTACCACAGAAACCGCTTATAAATAATCCGTATTTTTATTCCTTCTGGGATACACCCTCCAAACTCATTATTGAGAGCTCACTCGTACCTAACATATATACATGTGGATCAAAACATCACATGAATAAAATACATGTCCCGTTCTATTCCTGTCACTGATAAGTACTCTGTCTTACGAAACAGAAAAATAAGATTGCCCCCCATTACTTAATTTATGATATCACACGAGATTTAAGCAATATTATCCTTAAGATTACGTCTTCATGTTAAAACACCAACAATTGTTTACCTGGATGAATGCAACCATTCAGTGAGTTTAAATACTAAATAAATGCTGATTTTAATTAACCCAAATTGCTTAATATGCACTACGCAGCAAAACATATGAAAAGCTGCCATGGAAAATTCAATTAAAATGAAAGAAAGAGCCACCATGTTTAACTACAAAAAAAAATCAAGTTAAATGACTTCAAGTTAGATAAAATGGTTACTATCAGAAAATATGGCCATAAAAAGTACCATCTCAGTAATTCGCTTCAATTGGTCATCATATGTTTGCTGCATTTGCTTTTTAAACTCCATTAATTCTCCTTCTGAATGTCCTTTTAATTTTAAAGAATCAACCTCTCTTTGTCGGTTATGCAGCTCCATTGCTCCCTTCTGCAGTCAAATGATTGAAATGATGAATTCACTGATATCATGTAATGTTTTCCAAGATTTGAAGTTTGCAAAACCTCCACCTTCAGTTCTGTAAATAACTCATCTGTATAAGGTCGTCCAACATTCCGTGATAGAACCATGTTTACAAAAGAGAGAAGTTCTTGAACTTGTCCAACACGCTTCCTTTCATCCTTAGTCTTGTTATCAAAAAGTACATAACGATTCTCACACAGAAAAAGAATTTCCTACAGTACAGTTAAGTTTAATATTTTAGTTGAAGATTAACAAAACTATGAATTTACCAAAAGAAGCATCAAATGATAGCCAAATGATTCAAATTAACAGTTAAAACCAGGGGAAATGCTGCATTAAGAGTTATTCCAAGTTCCAACATGTAAACAAGGCAAGTGAAGCATTCTAAAGAATTCTGCAACTCAGCTATCCTTATCTTTTTGTATAAGATGTACCAATTAGAAAGTTCAAAACAAATACAATAATAAGATATTTTCCCACAAAAGATAGTAAAAAAATATATGAGCTAGATGACACAGAAAAGTCAATTAACTAAGAAGATTGTGCCAATCTTTCTGCATATATAAGTTTTATACGTCCATATGAGGTCAGATGGGGATTTAGGCCTCTTTGTGATTTTCTAAGAAAAAAATTGTTCTAGTTAAAAAATATATTTAACTTTTTTATGATTAGATAGGTTTTAGGGAAAGAAAAAAAAAAGGTAAA